TGGTGACCAGAATTGTACACAGTATTCCAAATGAGGTTGCACAATCGATTTATACAGGGGCATTATGATACTGGCTGATTTGTTTTCAATTCCCTTCCTAATAATCCCCAGCACAGTGTTGGCCTTTTTTATTGCAGTCAAACACTGTCTCGACATTTTCATTGAGTTATCTACTACGACTCCAAGATCAGTCTCTTGGTCAGTCCTCGCCAGTTCAGACCCCATCAACATGCATTTATAGTTAGGATTTTTGGCCCCAATGTGCATCACTTTGCACTTGGCCACAGTGAACCCCATTTGCCACATTGACGCCCACTCACCCATCCTTGACAGATCTCTTTGGAGTGCCTCACAATTTGTCTGCAGGTGCTGTGTTGCTGCTGTACCATCAGACTGGAGTCAGTATTGGCGTAGTGGTTAAGAGCAGCAGACTCTAATCTGGAGAACTGGGATTGATTCCTCACTCCTCCACATGAAGCCTGCTGGGTGACCTTGGACCAGTCACATACACTTAGCCTCATGTACCTCACATGTTTGTTGTGAGGCTAAAATGGAGGAGATGAGAACAATGGAAACTGCTTTGGGTCCCCATTAGGGAGAAAGATGTGGTATGAATGAAGTAAATAAGGCATTGCTTCATAAAGTGTGTTATTAGAGGGGGTGCTATGCTTGAACCTAAGCCAACCAAAAGACATCTCCAAAGTGACCTTTCTAAAAAGAAGCGTGTTGCATAGGAACTTTGCATGCATCACAAAGAACATCAATGCAATACAGCAAATACACTCATGTTGCCTGTGGAGTGACTCACTATCTCCGTGTCCCTATTTACTCGAGCGACTAAGAAGCGTGTTGCATAGGAACTTTGCATGCATCACAAAGAACATCAATGCAATACAGCAAATACACTAATGTTGCCTGTGGAGTGAATCACTATCTTCGTGTACCTAATTACTCGAGGGACTAGCTGAAGTTCCCGAAGGCTTCAGTTCTGGACCGGGAGAGGAGGGGGGGGAGAGCGGGTGGTAGGAATGCCAACCTCCCGGTGGGACCTGGAGACATCCAGGAATTATAAGTGATCTCCGGATGACAGAGATCAGTTGCCTGGAGAGGCTGGACTCTATGGCATTATATCTCCCTAAGGCCCCTCCCCAGGCTCCACCCCCAAATATCCGGCTATTGTACAACCTGGAGTTGGCAACTCTAGCTGATGGAAGCAGAACTTCGGCCTGTCAGAATTGTTTCTCACGAAGCTTCCGCTCAGGCCAATTTGACAAAAGAGTGAGATCAGAAAAGCTGAGGAAAAAGGGGTCGCGCGGTCAAAGGCTTACATTGAAGGCAGGGAGCTGCCCGTCGCTAGCGCGGTGGAGCTCCCGGATAAGCTCGATTGCTTTCTCACAGAACATGATAACGATCCAAACGACTCCTTCGGGCTCCGCACAGCACAGATCCACCTCCTGGTCGCCCCTGGCTCAGCGCGCAAACGAAGCCCGCGCCTCCACACCGCGCAGCCAATAGAAACGAACAAGCAGCTTCACTCCGTACGGAAAGGGAGACGGGACACGTTTAGCCATTCTGAGAGGCGTGTTGGCACAACTCAACTGAGCAGAAGTGCTGGGTTTAGTTCAGAGTTTGCCAGCTACGAGAGGCAGTTGGGATGACACAGGAAGGGACAGAAGTTGCTCTGTATTCTCATGACGGTTTGCATGACTGACTCACTCATAACCGACACTGCAACCCTAAAAAACACCTTCCTGGAATTGTCCCATTAAATAGACCTGAGTAGAACTCTGAGTCGATCTGAAGAGTATTGCTGCATAAAGTGTGAGAGAGATTTCCGGGACGGGAGAACAGTTTTATGCCTTCTACTTTCCCCAGCGATACAAGACTCATACAGTTTTAATCTCAAATTGCAAAACATTGTCAGTTATATGTATTAATTACTTACTTTCAGGTATCATTATTTATACACAGATAATCCCATGCTAATTAATTTGCCTCTCCTATGAAACCATGCCTTAATGTTTTGTGCAGCGGTGCTACTTTGATTTCAGTTCCTTGTGAGGAGAGAGTACTAGAAACTTGTGATTCTTCTGGAATGTGTGTTTGTTTATAACCATAAAAATTGAACAGCGGGAATTGGGGAGTAAGCAGGTACATAGACAGCGTTAGTTCTAAATCTGCATCGGCCTCCCAAAGCAACATCATACAGCAATAGAACAAAGTTTGATTCCAGTGGCACCTTTAAGACCAACAAAGTTTTATTCTGGGTATAAACTCTTGTGCATGCACACGAAAATTTGCACCCAGAATAAAATTTCGTTGGTCTAAAAGGTGCTACTGGAAAGGACGTACTAAAACTAAGGACAGCAATTGCCCATAGGGAATACATGTGCCCATAGAGAGTAATGGAGAGTAGGCTTGCCCAGAGGGGATAGTGCAGTAAATAATTGCCAATAGAGAATCCAAAATTGCCAATAGGGAATCCATGACTGCCCCTAGGGAATAATGGAGTACATAATTGCTAATAGAGAATCCATAATGCTAATAACTGTCGGCGGCAGCTGCAATGGGGGGGGGGGGGGGTCGAAACGTTCCGGGGCTCGAAACGTTCCCCGCTTCCCTGAGCCCGGGGACTCCTAGGGGCAAATTCCACCTCTCGCGTGTGACATCACCCGCGAGAGGTCATTCTGGCTCTCCCAGCTCTCGTTAGGAGCTCTTTAAAAAGTTATGGCCACCGCAGCTGTCAGCGGTAGCTGCAATGGCCGGGGTGGTGGTGGTGAAACGTCCCCTACTGGAATCAAACTTTGTTCTGCTGCTTCAGACCATCAGGGCAACCCACCAGAATCACGCAGCAACGTAAATTCTCGTTCCCCAAATTATGATTTTAGGCGCACTTAACTTTCTCAACATGTTTGTTTGTGTATTCCAGAGAATACGTTATTCTATTTACCACAACAGCAGTCACTTTTCTCGCCCCAGCATAACATGACTTCAAGTATAATTGGCTGTTTTTCATATTATAGACTACAAATTGTGGATATGACAAACCTAACTTAAAAATCGAATCCAGTATTTTGTCAGGGAGTGTGCAAAGAGGAGAATAGGGCGGTTCGCGCAGCTCGAGGTACCGATTCTACCCGGTAATAAATCCCCCTGAAAGCCTGAAATTACTCGCGTAAAGCAGGTTTACGATTGCAGCCGCCTTAACATGTATGTTTCATGAGGCGCAGCTCTCCGCAGTGGCCCACATCACGCTGACTACACATCTAAAAATAAAATGCAGCAATTAACCGATTCGGATATATTGTGTAGCACATTTGTATTGTAAACGGCTGCAGCAGCTTCGGGTGCTGTCGGCTCCAGGTAAGATCGGCAAGCGCTTGTCTTCGCTAACCCGCACTTAAGATGGCCACATGTGCTACCGTGCCCGGAGCTTAGAGGACTGCCCCTTGAAGTTTACTTCTAGAGAAGCAAAATTTGTCATTTGCTTCCTCCATACGTACAAGATGGCATCCAACAACGCAGTAGCCATCTTTGTCATGGTCAAAACAAACAAACAAAAATGGCCATTTCCTAACTGTCGCCGCGTAAAAGGTCACGTGGCTGAGGGCCGCTCCTGATTGGTGGTGGGCGGGAGGTGCTGTTAGTCCTTCGGTTGCCGGGCTGTAGCCGCTCTCATGTAGGGGAAGGCAGTGTGTGTGAGTGGACTGGGGCGGCTTCCCTCGAGCAAGCGGAGTTAGCGTTGCCGGGATGAGAAAGAGGAACGAGTCCGTTACGTTGGAGCATGAGCGCTTTGCCACTTCGGCACCGGCTGCCGCTTCCTCTCCTTCCCAATCCACGCAGTTGGACAAGGGCTTCAGCCTGAGACCGAGCCTGCGTCTGCCTGGCAGCGCCCACCCCGCCGGAGACTCCGGCATGAAGCGACCGCTTGGCAGGTGAGGGGCCCCCCTTGACAAGACTGCGTCGCTATAGCAACCCGGCCTCGCTCTCCTCCCTGGCAGAACCAGCCTGGCCTCGGCCTTGTCGTTTCCAAGGCGATGGGCGGCCAAATCGATGTTGCCACTCTAGCCTGCCTTCCTTTCCCACCCACCCATTCGGACCTTGGCATCGCTATGGCAACCCTTCCCAGAGCTCCGTAGTAGGTGTCATTCGCCTAACTCAGGCACAGGGTGTCTTTCTGCCGTTCTCCTCTTCGCCTCGTCTCGACAGAGGGTAACTTTGGACAAAGTGGGGTGGTGGTGGTGTTGAGGCCGCCCCCAATTGCGCAATGAGGCCTGATCTGAGGACAGTGCCCAGTTTCCCTGTGTATCTTTCCCACAATGGTGCACTAGGTTTACAGGCTGCAGCTGCAGGCCCAGAATAGATTGTGCAAGGCTGTGGCATCATGTAAGAGCTTTCGTTTGAGCTGCTCTGAGGGAGAGAGAGCAGGTTAAATGTACATGGTTCCATGTATATGTATATTTCAGGTGTGTTCAGGTGAAATCTAGTTTTTTCAGACTGTGACAGTCTGAAGTCTGAAGCAGCTAAAAATACCCAACTTAATAGATAAAAGATTGAAAAAACAACCCTAAATAAAGCCTTTATTGTAATAATTCCAAAGGAGTAGTTGCTAGTTTGTTGTAGCAAAAATGAGTCTTGTGACACCTTAAATACTAACAATTATACTCCAGCATAAATTTGCATTGATTAGAGCTTCCTTCTTCAGATTTGTGGTAACTATGCACTGTTGTTGGCCAAGGGAGGTCGTAGAAAAAACTTTTCCTTTCTTCTCTCTGCTGTAACCCTGAATTTGCCGCTCTTGCTAGAAAAATGCATATTTAAATTTCCCTAAATTCTCATACAAACCAAGTATTTTCACTCTTTCTCAATTTACAACGTTGACCTTCATCATCAGTCCCCTTGGAATGTAGTCTTCAGTCTTTTCCTGTATTGGAAAATGTGGGATGGGCTCTCCCATTACTAGAGGGTTAAAGGTACTGTACATTTTTTAAATTATTTACTTTGTTGATAGCCCGCCTTTTCCACTGAGACCTAAGGCAAATTACAGAATAATAAGAAAATGCAGTAACACAGTGTAAAACTATTCAATGAACAATGATCATAGCAATAAAAACCTTCAGCCCAATCCTGTACATATTTTACTGGGGTGTTCCCTAGGATTTACCCCATGTAGTCTTTTCTTTTCGTTGGGAATAATCAAGAAGCATACAATATTTCTATAAAAGAGGGAAAGTCAGAAGCCTGAATTGTTGACTCTTCAGCCTTTAATCTCAAGGAGTGTTGTTATTAGTTAGTCTTCCAGATAAAAGGAATCCATTGGCACCATAAAGACTGACAAAACTTATTCAAGCACAAGCTTTTATGAGTCAGAGTTTACTTCATCAGATTTCCACTCCAGGAACTCAGAAGAGCTTATGCTGCAATAAATGTTGTTAGTATTTAAAGTGCTTGCTTCACCTTGTTGTAGTGGTTAAGTGCACAGACTCTAATCTGGGAGAACTGGGTTTGATTCCCCACTCCTCCACTCGCAGCTGCTGGATGACCTTGGGCAAGCTATAGCTCTGTCAGAGGTGTTCTTGAAAAAAGAGCAGTTTCTATCAGAGCTCTCTCAGCCCCACCTACCTCACAAGGGTGTCTGTTGTGGGGAGATGAAGGGAAAGGAGTTTGTAAGCCACTCTGAGACTCCGAGTGAAGGGTGGAGTATAAATCCAATCTCCTCCTCCTCCAGACTAACATAGCTACCTATCTTGAAAAATATTCCAGATGTCAGATATAAGAAAGGTAAATGAAGTCTTCTGGGTAATACAAGATGTCTCCTTGGGTGGATCCTACTTTGACTGCAGTTCTCAGAATAACTTAATTTGCGCTGCTAATAAGTGATTCATTTGAGTATTGTATCCTTTCATTGTATTTCATAAACCACCTGAACCAGAGTACCAATACAGTTCTGTGCAGAGGTTCTGCATTTGTTTCAGTGGTCTTAGACTAGAGTAATTCTGCATAGGATTGCACTGTACTTGTAGTTACGTCATTTAAGTCTCTTCTTGGCATTGTATTAGTTAAATGTTTCTTCTACTGCCATCTGATCTTTCCTCTGCTCATTCTTCAGTTCTTTATCACTTCTTTCCCCCATTTTTCCTCTGCTTGTTCATCAGTTCTTTACCACTTCTCTTCTGTACTTTCTGTTGTTTTTCTATAACATATAATATTTTACAAAGTGGCTTGCAATTTACAGATTCCTGTTCTAATAAGAACCTGTGAGTAAGATTAAAGATAGTGACTTGTCTAGACCACTTAGTCAGCTTCAAAGCTGAACATGGATTTGGGTCTAGCTCTGTAATGATTTCATGTTTAACTGGGTGTGTGTGTCTTTAAAAGTTTGGTTGCATGGCTGTGTGATAATCTAGTGTGGTTGAAACAGGCAAGTGGTGTAATTGGTGAGTGACAGAGAGGGGGAGGGGGTTTGGAAGTGATGTTGTGTGGATGATATGTAGGTCTGTCAAGAGTGACAGAGGTTTGACAGTTGAGGATGACAGTTGATGTTCAGTAAGACAGTTAAGTTCTGAGTTCTGTGAGAGAAACAGAAGTTCAGTTAAGTTCTGTGTATGAGAGGAGTGAGACACATCCCCATTCATATATACAGAGTACTATCCTGTTATGTACGAATTATATCAATAAATCTTTTATTTAAGTCTGCCAGCTCTGAAAGACATACTTCCTCAGGAAACACATAGACCCTCATGAAAGCCTAAACCCTCGACCTACCTACCCAGTGATAGAAATATTATAAAGGTTTGGAAAGCCTTAAATTTCCTGGTGGCAGCCGGTTATACACAGTAAAGCAAAACATAAAGAACATTTTAAAGTAAAACCAGACCTCCCCAGTTAAGGGGTCGTCACAAGCTCTATCTATGATTGAATACCAGGTTAACTGGACTTACTTCCAAGTAAATACTTACAGAATCATGGTCATAACGTACTCAGATATTCTCAGGTGGGTAGCTGTGTCGGTCTGAAGCACCAGAACAAAGTTTGAGTCCAGTGGCACCTTTAAGACTAACAAAGTTTTATTCAAGGTATAAGCTTTCGTGTTCAAGCACACTTCTTCAAATACAATGTGTGTGCATGCACATGAAAGATTATACCTTGAATAAAACTTTGTTGGTCGTAATGGCACCACTGGACTCAAACTTTGTTCAAATATTATCAGTTGCTGAGCTGTTTCATATCAGTTCTCAGCAAACTGCTTTCTTACACTTGCTTGTCTTGCAGTTTGAACAGAAATCATGATATACTATTTATACTGTTAATAACATTAATTCTCCTGCCATTACTTTTCTGTTCAGTTCCTGTTTCATTTTTTAAAAAAACATTGCACCCAATACTCCAAATTTCAGAGTAGTAAGTCAGCATTTAAATGTCATCCTTTCAAGTAGATTACCCTCTGGCATCTGTTGTGCAATTTGTATGGATACTTTTTCGCTTGTGGATCCTGAGGATGTGGTCAAGATCCTTGGACAGCTGAGGCATACCACCTGTGTTCTCAACACTTGCCCTAACTGGCTGATAAAAGCTGCCAGAGGAGGCTGGCTGAGTGGGTGAGGGAGTGATAAATGCTTTCAGGAGTGGTGCTGCCTATGCTCAAGGAGGCAGTGATTAGACCTGCTTTTTTTTGGGGGGGGGGAACTGGCCCTACTATGTTAGAAAATTTCCAGCCAGCCTCCAATCTTCCATGCTTAGGCAAGGCGCTAGAGCAGGTTGTGGCCTCTCAGCTCCATGGGTTCTTGGAAGAGAGTGATTTTTCTGGACCCATTTCAGTCTGGCTTCAGGCCAGGGTTTGAAACAGATACTGCTTTGGTCGCTTGGTTGATGACCTCTATTAAGAACTAGACGGGGAATGTGACCCTGCTAGTTCTGCAAGGTCTCTCATTGGCCTTTGATACTGTTGACCATAGAATCCTACTGAGCTGCCTGTCAGCACTGGAACTAATGAGCGCCATGTTACAGTGGTTCGAGTCCATTGTGGGGGCTCAGTGTCAGAAAACATTGTTGGGGGATTCCTGCTCTGCCCCATGGTCACTGACCAATGAGGTGCCGCAGGATTCCATCTTATCCACCTTGCTATATAATATCCATATGAAATCAGTGGGAGAAGTCGCCAATATGCAGATGATACCCAGCTCTACCTTTCTTTTCCACCTAATCCTGAGGATGTTGTTAATGTTCTGAACCGATGCTTGGAGTCAGTAATGGTGTGGATGAGGGTGAACAAGCTGAAACTTAATCCAGAAATCAAAGAGTTTCTCTAGGTTTAGTAAAAAGGCAGACCAGGGACTTCAGATCTTCCCTGTCTTGGATGGGTTTATACTCCCCTTGAAACACCAGGTTCGCAGCTTGAGAGCACAGCTTGATGCAGCGGTCACCTTAGAGCCAGTTTGGTGTAGTGGTTAAGTGCGCGGACTCTAATCTGGGAGAACCGGGTTTGATTCCTCACTCCTCCACTTGCACCTGGCTGGATGACCTTGGGCAAGCCGTAGTTCTGATAAGAGCTGTTCTTGAAAAAGAGCAGTTTCTGTCAAGAGCTCTCTCAGCCCTACCTACCTCACAGGGTGTCTGTTGTAGGGAGGGGAAGGGAAAAGAGTTTGTAAGCTGCTCTGAGACACCTTTGGGTAGTGAAGGGCGGGGTATAAATTCAATCTCTTCTTCTTCTGAGACAACAAGGTGGCTGTTGTGGCTCAGAGTGCACTTCCCCAGCACCGGCTGATGTGTCAACTGTGTCCATTCCTAGATCAGTCTGATCTAGCCACAATGATCCATGCCTTCGTTACATCTAGACTGGACTATTGCAATGCACTCTACTTGTGGCTACACTTGAAGAATGTTTGGAAGCTGCAGCTAGTGCAGAATTGTGTGGCTAGTCTGCTGGTAGGGGCCA